GATCACATTTCATTTTTTCATGACATGCAAAAATAAATTCATTTCAGTTACTTAAGGAACAATTGGAGCCAGTCGTGAGCCATCTGTGTCTCTTCTCTGATTCCTTTTCTTCTGAATGTATAAATCAGGTCGCCTGGAGGTTGCTGTCCTGCTGAATGGTATCAGTATGGAACAGGAGCCTGTCACCTGAGACTCTTTCTTGCTTTTCAAGAGAGAAAAGCTCTGTTGTGGCATCTACTGTGCAGAACACTGAGACCGAATGCCTTGTCCAATGCACCAAAACTGGCAACCAAATTGAAATGCTAGTTTATGCTTAATTTTCAGACCTTAATAAGCCCTCACTGTTCTGGGTACAATTTATTCAAAAATTGTACATTATGACTATTATCCCTTTTTTTAAAAAAAAAAAATCAATTTTAATCTATTATTGAACTAGTATAAGGCAACTGGTCATGTTCCTACAATTATGTGGGGGGTTTTTTCTTCACTGGACAGAATAACAGATTTTGAAGTGGACTGCCATGGAAACCCTCCATAATGAACAGCCCCCTGCATACTAAAGCAAAGGACAGAAAAAGTAACACACTGAGTCCAGTACTAGCTCCTCTATGAATGAGTGGAAATATAGTCCTACAAAGATCACGGGGAAAGGAAGATGGTTTTGAATGGTTTACTGAAAAAATGTCCTCATGGGTTCCTTGATTTCTGTTCCACACCTCACTTAGCAAATACTAGGCTGGATTAAGCAAGAGGGAGATGCCAAAGAGGCCATACTGGTTCTTTTCTTCTTATGATATCAGCATAAAGTTTATGGCTGATGAATTGGCTGCTGGGATACTGTTGGGCACAAGAATGCTCAGCTGTTTTTTAAAAAAATATTGTGCCTTTCCCTCCCTGCCAGGCACTTGGTTATCCCTCTTTGAAATAATCAACTAAATTTGCAAGGCTTGTTTATCAACATCCCTCCTCCTTAGGAAATAAATGAGATGACGTCCTTCTTGTCTTTCCAGTATGAGATTCACTCTAGGAGGAGTTCTGCAGTTTTCCAGTTCTATCACCATCATCTCCCTTTCCACAGAGAATCAACACACCCCAAAATTGGGCATCAGGACTTCCTAGTTCCATTTCTGACATATTCTCTGGCAAGTTTAAGAGAGAATAACCTCTATCTTATTTGCGATTTAGAATTTTGTAAGTATGAAAAGAGTTAAGTTTCAACCAAAAAAGAAAAAAATATAACTATAGTACTACACTGAAAAAGATTCACTGGAGATAGTGGTTTGCCCAGATTTTGTCCTTAGCCACATTATTTATTGCCTGTCTTTCACCAGTAGCAAGCCAAAATGGAAGAATATGACTGGATTTTGTAAAATCATAAGTAGAAGGCAAAATGGATGGATGAATGAAAATACACATTTTCCTGTCAAAGAGAAACTGGCTGAGCTGAGTGAAGGGAATCAAATAAGGAATTAGTCTGGAATCCCTACATGGGCATAAGAGGCAAAGTGTGACACCCCTTGAGTGCCATTGAAGCTTATCTAGTCTGACCTAGGTGCAAACTATCAAACAGCTAATTGACGTCTTTGCATGTGGATCTGTTTGTTTGCACCTAACATTATCTTCAATGCAGGGACATGCCCTTGTAAGATTCCCTGTGCTGAAAAACAGCAAAATATTTTGCCCTAGCTGCCCTGGGCAAACAGAAATGTTTGCAGTGAGCAAACTAAATACATTTGCCCTGTGATACTGACTTATCTTTTTCTGGGTAATTCACTGTGAACCAGACAAAGCAACTTGATTGCAATTCACACTCTAGCCTTTTCCAAATCCTTTCTGAACTCCCTTGTTTGATCTTGTTTGACAAGGTCAACCTTGTTTGACAAGGTTGAAATAGCCAAGAACCTAATAATGAATTAAGGACAGATATGCTTATTTCACCTAAATGTTTTTTCTTGAATCAGTAGCTTACTTTCACAGACGTTTAGTAGAATTATAGTTTCTTACCAAAGTCTGCCTTAATAACAGCTTGGAGTGACTGCTGACTTTTGCTTTATGGAATATTCCCAAATGGTTCTCAACAATAATGTTTTAACTGCACTCATCTGCAAGAAGAACAGTTAGAGCCAGCTAGGTTATCTTATTAGAGAATTTCATTTGCTGAGTAAGGTGAAAGGTAATGATTGCCTCTTGTGCCGAGTTACGTGTATAGAGAACATGAGGGAAATCATTCTCAGAAGTTGGAATTGCTAGCTAATCTACAACTTTATAAAAATACAAATAAATCCAATAGCACCTCTTGTTCATGCAAATTAATATTCATGCAATACAGAAAAGTGATCCAAACAAAGGGAAATAGTAGTTTGCAGAGAGCACTAAGAACCCAGCAGTACAACATGGAGGCTAAAACATATAAGGAACGGTTGCTGGAATTGGGTATGTCTAGTTTAACGAAGAGAAGGACGAGGGGGGACATGATAGCAGTGTTCCAATATCTCAGGGGCTGCCACAAAGAAGAGGGAGTCAGGCTATTCTCCAAAGCATCTGAAGGCAGGACAAGAAGCAACAGATGGAAACTAATCAAGGAGAGAAGCAACCTAGAACTAAGGAGAAACTTCCTGACAGTTAGAACAATTAACCAGTGGAACAACCTGCCTCCAGAAGCGGTGAATGCTCCAACACTGGAAGTTTTTAAGAAGAGACTGGACAGCCATTTGTCCGAAATGGTATGAGCAGGGGGTTGGACTAGATGACCTCCAAGGTCCCTTCCAACTTTATCATTATTATTATTATTATTATTATTATTATTATTATTATTATTATTATTATTATTATTATTATTATTATTATTATTATATATTCTTTTGGAAGTACACAAATAGCAGCTTATCTAGGGCAACAGTTGTTTTCAGTTTCTTAGAACCAGACAAGATGGTCAAAATAATGAAATATAAAGATGAATCACTGAGTTAAGTTCCTATTTCTCTCCTAATGAAAGCAACTGGAACTATGAATTCAATTTGTAGATGCTGCAGTTTTTTGACCAAAAATCTTTCTTAAAATAGAGCAGTTACAGAACAGCAAGAAGTTATTGAGACAATAGTAGAGAATTGTCTCATCTTGCTGATATTGGTTGAACCAGGAAACACATTTTTCTCCTACCAATAATTAGTAGCCGTAAAAAACCTTTAATGAGGATTTGCAAAGCTCCTTGCAAACGTCCTCAAATCCTCTTATTCAAAATATACATAAGCATATTTAATACTTTCAAGTTACCAGAAAGAAAATATGTGCAGTATCAAAATACAGCTCACAAGCATGGGTAACTGCCATTTCATTCTCCTGCGTGCTATTTCAGTGAAAGCATATTGCAAAGGTAACTTGTATGGCTTGGTTTGGCGGCCTAGCTTGGACAGACTTGTCCCTTTAAAGTTCTCGGTTGATTTTGTGTAGTAAGCCAAGATGAGGTATGTGCTGTTCCTATTAAGTAAGCTGAAATTCTTTAGATTCTCATTCCTGAACCTACATACCAAACTTAAGAGTACCTCCATACTAGAAATACTGGGCATGCAATTTCTTCTCCATTTATACGGTACTTATTTTTTTTTATTTATTTTTATTTTATTTTTTAAAAGGATTTCTTAGGGCTCAATTTTTTGTGGTTTGTGATTTGAGACCAGATTTTGTATCATAGGAGTTTAGAACCATCCAACAATTAAGTGAATTAATTCTGCAACTGCGGAGCTTATATAGTTTCACTTGAATTTAATCAATATTGAATTTGAATTTATTCAGTATTCAGTGCTAAAGATACGGCTATAAGAATTATGCCATGGTCACGATAATTGACTGAAAATAATGCTTTTGAAGAGTCAGAAAATAAAAAAGCAAATTTTCCTCTATCACCGAGTGAGTCTAAGTATAATACTATTTTCCCAGTAAAATACTCCAAACTTTGATGAAATAAATCAGTGGTGGCGAACCTATGGCACGGGTGCCAGACGCGGCACTCAGAGCCCTCTCTGTGGGCACGTGTGCTGTCACCCCAGTCCTAGGCCTTCAGTTGGGTTTTATAAAACCTTTTCACTTTAGGCCGCTGCCGTGTGCAAAAAAAAAAAAGTTCAATCAGTCAATTTCAACTTTTGGCGGGGAAAAAAAAAGATCTTGCAAAGTTGGAATTGATTGATTGAACTTTTTAGTCCCACCCAGTCTGCCGTTACCACTGCAGCCACACCCACCCAATGGGCCACACCCACTCGGCACTCGACAATGCATAAGTGGGTTTTGGGTTGCAGTTTGGGCACTCAGTCTCTAAAAGGTTCGCCATCACTGAAATAAACAATAATCCCTGAAAGTTTATAGAGTAATTTAGTCTTTAAGGTGCACCAAGATTCTGTTGTGTTTTCCTTGGTTTTGCTCCACTCATTTTTCCTAGGTATAGTCATTAAATTAACCCTTCCCAATCGGCAAAGATATGATGAATATAACACAAGTTGGCTGTAAATGTAACTGAATACAACTTAGAGAGAGAACAATATTTCCTGAATATGTAAATAGTGTAATCATTAAAGCATTTTTAGATGGAAAATGTTTAAGCATACCCTAAATTTTGATTTGCACAATGAAGATGGGGGAAAAAAAATCTCTACCTCCTGTAGCATGGCCTGCATAATTCAGCTGAAACAAGAAACATTTTCAATGTTTTGTCAAACTTTGAAGGAATATATGATTTTTGCTAAGTGATGTATTTCTCTCTTTTTAAAAAACAACAACCGTGAAATGCCAAATCTTAGTACCAAATATCTGCATACACATATCTATGCCATACACATACTAGGTGTATGTACACTCTTAACATTAGTTACTTGTCCTGTAAAAATGGATTCTAGGACCCAATTTTCTTACCAATGACAAATCCAGCAGTGATGTAGAACTGAGCAATGTAAAAATGGTATCTCCCATTTTTTCTAAGCTTTACCAAAGCCATGACCCTTTCATCTTACCTTGTCACTGAGGCCTTCTGACTCCTCTGCCAGAAGGTAAACATTCCCACTTTCAGCCATAAGGATAGCAGTGTCTGTAGTAGATGAAGATCTTGGCCGGCCTTGATGTTGATGCAGGATTGCTGTCAGGCTGCTATCCTGGGGGGCCCTCCGCACAAGATGTGGACTGCTTTTTTGTGGTTCTACAGAGCCACTCTTGGCTCGGCGACTGCCACTGTGCAAACTGGTTCCTCTCTTGATGGAAGGACGAGAGCGAATCTGCTGTAGCACCCTGTTGAAAGCGGTGGGTCGAGCTGGGAGATCATGGAGAGACACAGCATAAGAGACACGATGCATCTCAGGAGAGCGTTCTTTTTCATCAGGGGAGTCATGATCAGACATGCCATGGTGTTGCTGGGATGACTCCTGGGAATTCTGATGCTCCCGTTCTCGGGATCGTCTACGACTATGGAAAAGATGTTTGAGTCCATGACCAAACATAGAACCTTCAGACAGTTGTTGTATCTTCTGTTCAAGGAAAGAAGACAAAATATTGGAAAGATAGTTGAAGAAGGAGCTAAACAAAATTTGTTGTAAAACACAGATGAAATATAACAAGTATGAAAAAAATCCCATTTTGCCCATGCCACCCCAAATCACAATTTTGTAATTGTCTATTGTCACTAACTGGTGTCATTCTTTTGAAGTCCAGATTTTATCCATATGAAGTGCACATCATAATCAAGAAGCCTGGACACTATGCTTCCTCATCACATTAGTAAATTCCTGTGTTGCCCTATCTACAATATATGATACACTGTTCCCCCTCCGAAAGGTAGCCAACATCAGCTGCTATGGAGCGCTAAGGAAATAACCACGGAGAAGAATCCAGAGGCCAGTAGGAAAACACCAAGTACAGGAAAAAATATGCATTAAATCTAGAGAGGTGCAACAGCATTCTAAAAGACTAGCTCCTCATCTGACTTCCTCAGATATCAGAGGGAAGGAAAGAAGGTGTGGACAGACTTGCAAGAATAAGTTATCTGAATAAAGTTCAGTTGTATTTTTTCTGTGTAGTCTGTCTGGTTCATCTTGAAGGGATGACATCAACAATAGTCGAAGACTTGTCCTGAAGAAGTAGGAGTAGAGAATAAAAAAGCAGGCCTTGATGGAGATAGGAAAGATCCATTACCAAGGCAACAGTCAAATAAAGTGGCTTGAGTCCATATCAAGAAAGTGTTTTACAAAAATTCTCAGAGAATCCCCCCCCCCCTCAGACATCATATTAGAGAAAAGGAAAAAGAAAGGAACCACATTTGGACTTGTAAGATTCTGTTACTATAGCTATTCTAATAACTGTCATGTTAGGACCACAGAGTTTCTTATAAAGCTGATAGTAGCAAAACTCTAAGGAAGATGAAGATGAATGCTTAAGGGTAAAGTGCAAGAAGACATAAAAATCGTATGATTAGAAGAACTGCAATTAATTGAGTAACCTTTAGCATCATAGAGACAGACTGTCATAATATAACTTACTACCTATCCACCATGCTATTTTATTTTGGGATAAGCAAAGTTATGTAAAGCATAGAAAAGAAATAATGAGCCAAAGGAGTTAGATGTAAGAAGAAAAAAAGAAAATATAGCGGAATGTAGTTTATACCTTCACCATTCACTACTCTTCTCCAAATCCTGCTTCCACTAGATTTACATATTGATATTGTCATTTGTTCTTTCAGATTTGTATATTATTCCTTCTAAAGATACGTTTCTTGTGTGATGGCAAACTTACTAAATCATGAAAGTCATTCATCATTGTTATGTGCCACTTGAAACATGGCATTGTAAGGAATATACATGGTTGGATATTTTGAATATCAAAGCAGCTCACAGAATCCACAAGCTAAAGTGTAACTTGTGTGCCAACAGTATTGTGATCATTTTGTTTTGCATTTTAAATCTTAACAATATTTCCCAATGAAATATTTCTTTTTGCCATTCTGGAGAAGACTCCTGTGAGTCCCCTGGACTGCAAGGCGATCAAACCGGTCAGTCCTAGAGGAGATCAACCCTGACTGCTCTTTAGAAGGCCAGATCCTGAAGTTGAAACTCAAGTACTTTGGCCACCAAATGAGAAGGAAGGACTCACTGGAAAAGAGCCTAATGCTGGGAAAGATTAAGGGCAATAGAAGAAGGGGACGACAGAGAATGAGGTGGCTGGAGGGAGTCACTGAAGCAGTAGGCGTGAGCTTAAATGGACTCCAGAAGATGGTAGAGGACAGGAAGGCCTGGAGGAACGTTGTCCATGGGGTCACAATGGGTCGGACACAACTTCGCAACTAACAACAACAATATGATTTAATTAGAAAGCGATCCCAAAAGCTTGATCAGTCTGTTACATATATTAACTCTATTTCTGTTTCTTTACTGTTCTCCATTGGCACCGGCTATTGCCAAAGCCACTGTTTGAAAAGCCTAAGGGAGAAGTTACTCTAAGGAAGAGCAACTTACTCTGCAGGCTCTGTTGCTTTTGCCAAACCACAAGGCCAGCTAATGTTACAGATATTTGAAGGTAAGCCTAATAGAGATACATCATATAAATAAAAAGACCAAAAGAAAAAAAAAAGTTCCTACAGTATTCATAAATGAAGGACAATGAGATTATAGATATAAGCTGTTCCAAGCAAGGCTGCCTTTTGCCATTGACTGAGGGTGATTTTATTAATACCAATGATGGTGATGTTATTATTTTATGATAAAAATAAGCAATAAGCATTCTCAAAATAGCTTGAAAGATGCAAATTGTGAAAGACAAATCACTACTTATTTCTTCTATCAATGTTTTCTACTTGTACAGAACCTTCACTCTGATGGAATAGGAAGCAAGAAAAGACTAATGATGGGTCAAGAGTCATATACAAAAACAGTGATCATGTTACTGCATAAGACATTAATCAACAGAGGTTAATGGAATGCTATAAAATTGCATTAAAAGCCTAGCTATTGGTTTCTTATTAAAGTTCTGAAACTTTTCAGACCTCCTTGCCTCTTTCTAAAGTTATTCTACTTTTTGAGTTTTTCAAGTTAATAACCTATTCTATAATGAAGTGGAGAGATCCTGACATACAGTTGTGAACATATAGCCTGTGTGCATACATTTCCGGATTGGAACAGTAATCCACAAAGCTTGAGAAGACAAATAGATCAGACTGTTTCCAATTCTATCCTACCCTACAAAGTGAAACATAAGTGGGATAAATAGCTCTTCCTGCATCAGATTAGTAATATGTGGCAACAATACCACATATCCAATATGGATTAAGGATGATTCTCTGTTATAGTATTCTCAACCCTATCATGACTACAAATATTACTGAATAATAATTTATTTTGTGAACCAGCCTCATGTCACTGCAAACAAACTGGTATTTCAATCCCTAAACATTATCCCTTTTGCTAGCTAGATAGGTTAGCAGTAAAAGATTCACTGAGCACAGCCCTTTTTCCATTAGATTCAGAATATAGGTTTTAGAATTCCAGAATTTAATATTAATTGGCCTTTGACAAAATATCTGAGGCTAAGATATATGAAAAACAAAATCCCATGTTTTGAACAAGATATAATTCCTCACCCATATCCTAGGGATTGTTATCTTAGAAAATTATTTCTGAAAGAGGGGGAGAATTTTCTATTGAATTGTTGCTTTGGACATTACAATTTAAAGTTTATTCTATTTATAGTGTTTCTATGGAAACAGTGTACGTAAGATTAAAAAAGAACTACAAAACCTACAGATTTCTCCCATCACGATACAAGATGGATTTAGATTCTTCATCTGCCTTTAAAAAGACTCATGGGAACCAAAATGAACAGTTCCCACATTTTAAAAATAACTAAGTGAAACATTAAAAAGAGAAAGTTGGTGACGGATAAGGAAAAACAAGTTATTTTGACAGCAACATACAAAGACTAACTTAATCTCATTTTTTCCATTAAAACGGGGTGGGGGCGGGAGTGGATTGAGGCTGACAGATGACAGCCAAACATAGCAAAACAAATAATGACAGCTGAAATTTTTCTTTCTACATTATTCAGGAAGACACATACAACCTTAAAGAGAAAAAGTGGTTTGTTCAATTACACCAAGTAACTCAGCCTTCCTCATACTGGTGATCTCAGATGTGTTGGAACTATAACCCCAGAACTTCCCACGGTGCAGGACTCTGCTGGGGTGTTGTAGTCCCAACACATCTGGAAGAAACCAGCAAACAGAAGCGGTATCCTATTTCATGCAGTGGTCGGATTTTACAGGCTTACATGTAGTTGATAAAGAAGCAATTGTTTTTCAAAAATACATTGCTTCTGGATAATTCACATCCCAGAGAAAGTGACTACAGACATCATGGATTCATTCACAGCACACATACTGAAGTTTATTGGTAATGTTTCTTGCTGAATTGGTACCACTATTAAGCAGAATATTACTTATTAAATGGTTAATTGGAAACCAACCTGACCTGATCTCCTTTTTTGATAGAATGACCACATTAGTCAGCCATGGGAAATGTAGCAGATGTAGTGTACCTTGATTTCAACAAAGCATTTGACAAACTTTCACTGCAATTCTAGTAGAGACAATGGCACAATGTGGCCTGGACTATGCTACTATTAGAAAAATACAAAGCTGGCTGAATACCTATGCCAAAGAGTATACATTAATAGCCCCACATCAATCGGAGGGAAGTATAGTTTGACTTACAATAGGGCTCCATGCTTGTCCAATATATGTCTAAATGATTCAAATGAACAGTTTGAAAATATGATTTACAGATCACCTCAAATATTAAGGAGTTCCATCTGGCTGCACCCAGATGGCGTGTCTTTTCTGCTGTGGCTCCTGCCCTCTCTAGGACATCATTCCACTTGAAGTGAGGTTGCTGGCATCCTTGCTTCCCCCTTAGAAAGCCTTAAAACATGGTTTTACCATCAATCTTGGGATCCCATGATGAGCTTGCTGTTTTCTCCAATCTTGGGTTTTTATGTCTTTTTTTATTTACATTTGAGTGTTTTAGTTTTTATTGTCACTATGTTTGTATGCCGCCCAGAGTCACATTTTATGAGATGAGCAGCTACTGTATATAATTCTGCTAAAATAAATAAGCATTGGATAAGAAAAGAATGGGTTATAATTTAAAGGAAATAGATTTCAATTGGACATCAGGATACCCCACTTAATGGTAACTATTCAAAATTGCTATGTAGTTAAAATAAAAGAATAATGCTAATTTAAAACATATATAGTTACAATGTTCTATTCTTACTAACTTTTGGGAGAAAGTAGTGGATTATATAAATATAATTGTGTGACAAAACTTAAAATTTACAGAGGATAATATTCTCTTGAACTACATACCTAGTGCATGGAATTTGACAATGAAATGAATTTTCTATGCTCTTGTTATGGCCCAAAGACTGATACTGCAGCACTGAAAAGATAAATGTATGGTAAGAAAAC